AAGTCATCTTTTGGACTCGCTCGATTGAGGTCGCTATAATCCACACATACCCTGACCTTTCCGGTATTTTTGATGACGGGTACTATGTTGGCCAACCACTCTGGGTATTTGGAGACTACTAGGAAATTGGCGTCCAGTTGCCTTTGTACCTCCTCCTTGATCATTAGGGACCAGTCAGGTTTAATTCTTTTGAGCTTTTGCTTCACAGGTCGGAACCCTTCTTTCAATGGCAATCTATGCTCCACTATACTCGTGTCGAGCTCGGGCATGTCATGATAAGACCAAGCGAATACATCTACATATTCCTTTAGAAGCTGTATCAATCCCTTTTTTATGCTACTTTCTATTTGGGTGTCGATATTTATCTTTTTCTCATCATCCCCTTCTCCCAAATTAACAGCTTTTGTTTCCTCTTGATGTGGTTGTATAATGCGTGCTTCCTTTTCCAGCATTCTTTGCATGTTCGGAGAAATGGTCTCCTGCTCACTGTCGAACTCGACCTATTCGCTTTCGGTTTCCGGGGTCCACAGAGATTCATCAATCACAGACATGATGTGTTTTAGGTTCTGTTTTAGTCATAGATTTTATTATTCAATTATTTTTGAAAGAATAATAAATAGAAGAGGAAAAAGAATGAATATGACATAATGCCTCATGTATTAAAGAGAGTGAAAGTGTATGTACAAGCCCTTTTAATCAAAGTTCCTGCGGCCACAGGCGGGGACCGCAGGAGATATAAGAGAAAGCTTTAAAAAAAAGCACCCTAGGGCTGATCCTCCCAGTCCTCCCTCTCTGCTACTCTGGCTTCGACAAAGGTTTGGTGTCGACATCGGAAGCAGAGGCATCAAAAGTTATCCACCTGGCGTCGATCAATTCTTGGACCCGGTACTTAAGGGTCAAGCAGTTTTCTGTTGAGTGTCCAGGTGAACCCGAGTGGTAATCGCATTTCTCGTTTGGTTTATACCACTCGGGGTAAGGAGGTTCTATCTGCTTCTTGGGAGGAACGCAGGTCAAGAGTTTGGCCTCCAACAGCTGAGGTAGCAACTTACCATAGGAAGTTGAGATTGGAGTGAAATTCCTCTCTTTCTTGCAAGGCTGCCTAGCCGTTTGCGGAGCAGAAGAAGGAGTGGCAAAGTTGATCGCATGCACAGCTTCGTCCTTCTTCTTGCCAGTAGTTTTTCTGAATGAGACACCAGCTTGGGAAGACTGTGTTATCTTCCCAGTTCTCAGTCCCTGCTCTACTCTTTCCCCGACAGTGACTATGTCCGAAAAAAGGTTGGAGGTACTGGCTATTGCCTTATCGTAGTACGCTTCGGTCATAGCCACTGTCTCCTTATCCGTCAAAGGAGGTTCTATCTGGGCCGCCAATTCCCTCCATCTTTGGGCGTATGCTTTAAAAGGTTCGTCGTTCCTTTTGCTCAGAGTCCTGAGATCTGACCTGTCAGAGGTCAGATCAATGTTGTATCGATAACGACGAAGAAAAGCGTCAACCAATTGTTTCCAGTTCTGAACCTGCCCTCTTTCCAGCTGCATATACCAATTGAGAGCCGTGTCTGCCAGACTCTCCTAGAAGCAGTGGATCAGGAGCTTCTCGTTCTCGGCGTGTGCGGTCATTTTACGACAATACATCGTAAGATGGTTCTTTGGGCAGGTCAGCCCGGTGTACTTGGGGAAGTCCGGGATTTTGAATTTAGGAGGGAAATGGACGTTCTTTACCAAGCACATGTCCGCCACCTCCTTGACGTCAAAGTTGTGCCCTTCTACCGCCTTCAGCCTTTCCTCTAGGGCGAAGATTTGTTGCTTAGACACCTCTGGGGTGATGATGCGTGCAGTCCGAGCGTCATTATAGAAGGTTTCCTCCTCTTCCTCCTCTTCATGGCGAGAGGCGTTTTCTGCGTGGGTTTCCCCCTTATTTTGCCCTTGGCATATGACCTCCATTAATTGAGCCATTTGTTCACGGAGGGTATTAACCTCTGCAGTGAGCTTACAGTTTTGTTCCTCCAGGTTCTCCATTGCTTTGGCTTTCTGTGCACGAGTTCGGATGGGGAGAGGACCAGCCACTTTCTAGAATGCCCGAAAGAAATTTATTAATGCATGTTGAGTGTTGGACTAACATGAATATGTTTATGTATGAGAGATTTTGTTTAGATGATGCTAAATATGCTCTCACTTTTTATTTTCTCTCTTGGTTTTTCTCCACTCATGATATGATGTAATATGAATGATTTGACTTTGTCAGAGCTCATCTTATTTACCTTCTTGGATTTTGATTTTTATTATTTTTATTTTATGGCCTTTTATCTCTACTGCCGGACTGCGTGGCTACTTAGCTTACAAAGAACCTGAAACCAGGCTAGCTAAAAGGCAGACTGTCTGAGATAAAAAATGGCTTCATGCGAAAGAATATTCAACGTCTCTTATCTCTTTTGTCGGGCTGCGTGGCTACTTAGCTTACAAAGAACCTGAAACCAGGCTAGCTAAAAGGCAGACTGTCCGAGATAAGGGTGTTTATTGCAAAAATGTTTTTGTGATTTTTTTGTTGTTTGGTTATGTTATGCAACAAACAAATGCGCACACAATTCGATCATCCACGAACAGGCGAGAAGTCATTTTAATCACGAGGTAGGGTTTTCCTGCAGAAAAGTGCTTTGGCGAAGGTAAGTTCTAACTGTTCTCACCAAGGCTAAGGCTCCCAAGGTGCCCTCATTATAGGGTCCCCACTCTCCAGCCTTCCGACCATACTTAGCACTAAGGCCATAGTCAGTCTTTGTGCCAAAAGAGGAAGGTTATCACCTTGAGTGGTGGTTTCCGATCACACTGGTGGGCACAAGGCCATCACTACAGCGAACCGTACCTGCCACCCACTTCCTATGGATTTCTCACTTGCCCCCGGGTATAGAGGGAACTGTTGTGTGCAAGGGTTTGTGTACAGTTTGTATTTCAAACAATTGCGTAAGTATAAACAAACAACAGTTATTAAAGTCAAGCGTTAAAACATGTTATAATACAAGGTAGGGTAAAAGCGTAATTTCTTGGTTTATTTATTTAAGCTGACCCATCATTAAATGGGATCAACTCTCTAGGCTTCCCCAGTGGAGTCGTCATCTGTCGCTGCCGTCAAAATGAGGCGGTCGGAGCGATGCGATGGTTCCGACTTTCCAATTTTTGCGTTTTTATTGGTGTGGTTACGACGCCTTTAGGTTGTCCGATAACCGGGCTGAACCTAGGGCTGAGGTTTTCGAAAAGGCGTTCTTGGATTGTCCGATAACCGGGCTAACCCAAGAACTAATTTTGAAGGGTTCTTCTGGAGTCGCCACCGATGTTTTTGTCGGAAACATCAGAAAATGAGTGAAAAGGCGTTGGTTTTCGAAAAACCAACTTTGGTCATTAGAACCAGAGTTGGGTAAGGGAGTTAGTTACGTGTAAGGGAAGTGTTAGTTCCCTTACGACGCCCCTTTCGGGTTCCCTATGATAGGCCAGCTATTTAAATAAGTAAACCGGTGAAAATACGTTTTTACCCTTTATTTACAGAATTTAAAGTTACAACTACATGACCCTAATATCTACTGCGCAAATTTAAAGATAAAGCAGTAAAGAGAGAGAGAGTGTGGAAACCTCCGAGGCAAGCTTTATATTAATCTCTTGAAAATTGGGGTGCTTTTTGGCAGCCCCTCACTCCTTACAGCGCCGGAAACCTCTCAAAACGCTATAAAAACTCTTAGAAACTCTCAGAAAACTCCAGAAGTGTTTCGGAGGGGTTCTAGGAAGAGAATTTTATGAAGTAACTAGAGAGAGAATGGAAGAACTGTGTGAAATGAGGGGAATGGCGCGGCTATTTATAGGGATTTGCGCCTGTCAGGTCGAGACGGTCGTCTCGCCTTGCCAAATGGCGAGACAGCCGTCTCGCCAACCGGGAGGGTCGTCTCGCCAAACGAGACGGCGGTCTCGCCATTTGCGCAAGGCGAGACGGCAGTCCCAAATGCGAGACGGCGGTCTCGACCCTAAAAGGCGAAAATCCTTATTTTTCACGTAGAAAATCCCTCCTATCCTAGTATGGGGCCTAATGGTCTCTCCTAATGGCTTCTTAGGCTTCGTCCTTCTTCGAATAGAAGGTCTTCTGGTCTTTATTATGAGACCGGGCAAGATTTGGGGTCTACATTCCTTGCCTAACAATTTTATTTTGTTAGCAATACCCAACAATTTGTTTGAGTATTCATTTATTGTTTAAGACTCTTGCATCTTTTGTATCTCAAATTCCCTTATCAAGTTTAGAACTTTTATACCTCAAATTTGTTCATCTCCTTCATATTAATCTTTCAAATAATCCAAAATTTCTTTGGGTGACTTTAGCGTCATGATTCTGGTAAGGATCATTTGTGAATCACCAGCAAACAGACATGATTTAGCTTTTGCCTTCCTCGTTTTTCTTTCTCTGTGAAATTTCATTTCAGCTATGGTGGGATTTTCAAGTAGTGGATCAACAATATAATATTCTTCTACAGTTTCTCATACATTCAATCCTTCAAGATAGGATTGCATTCTCAAATCCCATAAGTCATAATTTTCGCCATCAAAAAATGGAATAACGACTTGTGAAAAATTTCTTTCTCCTTCTATTGTATCGAACCAAAACTCTGATACCAGTGATAGAAAATTTTAGGGTTTTGTGTATGTGTATTTCTGATATATCATGTGGGTATATTTCTATTTATGTACTCTATGTATATATAGAGTAAAATTATTACAAAATATCAAATATCAATAATATCTCAATCATAACTGCCTAAATCAAAATAATAACCTAATACATTTTTACCTTCTCTTTTAAAAGATAATAAAATCTCTTAATACCTAATTTAAATAAAAGATAATAAAGTAATATTCTCAACAACTATTTGTTGTTGTTGCTCCTCTTAGATTCTTGCAAGTTTAGAGAAAATATTTTCACTGCATATTTTGGTATTTTAATTTGTTGTATTTTTTTTCCTTCAAGGACGTACCAACGCTCTTGTCAGACTATACAGGGCCTCTCTGGGACCGCACGGGGTGATCAACGAGTTGTTGAGCATGTATTTCGTGTTTGCCCACATCTGAGAATGGGCAGTTGGTAGGAAAGCGGCTAAGAGTGGAAAAGTATGTTCAACTACAACAGGGAGCTCATACTAGCATGTTACTCCCCAAGCTTAATCCACCTGCCCACCGCAAAAACCAACAGTGGTATCAGAGTCGATGATTTGTGTGATAGCCGATAGTTTAAGAGTGTTTCTTGTATCGAAAGTCTTCCTAACAGTATGTCTATTAAGCGTGTCCCATTATGATGAACGGTGGTACATGGAAGGGATACTAGTGAGCTCGAGGGAATGTACCAATATGGAGAAACTCACACTTGAGGAAGAGATTGTTGAGTAATCCAAATGTTGAGTCTAAGTTCCACATTGTGTAAGAATGAGAAAGTTAAGCAACATATAAGGAAGTAAAACTCATGACTCAATGCTTTAAGGTTTTAGGTTGAGAGTGGTGTCAATCCCTCATGTGAGTTAGGTTCATATCTCATTGGTGTTGTGTTCTCCCTAGTGAATCCACCCTCGAAAGACCCAACAATACCTGCAAGGGACTCTTTGATGTTCAAGCAAATATGTGAGTAAGAGGGAAGTAAAGCGTGAGTGAAAGGAATGGTGTCTTGGACCTGTTTATATAGGAGTGGATATTTTGGGGTAGTTTCCGAGAATCCTAAAATGTGTTGGTACTTGGTCTTGTCGAATGCTCGGATATTGTCGATATATTTAGATATTGTCGAGATATTCAGATATTACTGAGATATTCGATCCAAGTATCTCGACATTATAGTGCTTAGTTGTACATGAATCCAAGTTTTTTTTTAAACTTCATTAAGGATATTCATAGCTTTAGTGATTGACATTTCCAAAAACCAAAAACATTAATCGTTTGTTTGTATATAATCATGAAATTTAGGGATTTCCTTTATAAAATCCTAATTATGAAATTTAAGAATTTATGATTTTTATTGAGTTTCATTCAAAATTTAACATGAAAAACTATTCACTTAGTGTAACTTTCATTGCGAAGGGTGATAAACTTGATTTGTATCAATGCCCGAGAAATGATCTTAAGCGAGAACAAATGAAAAATATTTTGTATGCTCCAGTTGTTGAAAGTCTTATATATGTTCAAGTTTGTACTAGACCTGACATTCCATTTGCAGTTGTAGTTTTGGGAAGATATCAAAGTAATCTAGGTATTGTCCATTGGAAAGTTGCAAAGAAGGTAATGAGATACCTTCAAGGAATAAAGGATTTCATGCTCATATACAGACAAACAATTAATTTGGAGGTAATAAGCTACTCTGATTCAGACTTTGCTGGCTGCATTAATACTAGAAAGTCTATATCTAGTTATACTTTTACGTTATCCTGTGGAATTATAACTTGGAACAACTAGTCAGGTGAATCAAGGCCTTGGCGAGGCGAAGGGGTAATTGCCTATTCCGGCTAAGCAGCCTGGTGTGCATAAGCAAAACAAACCAGAATACCTCAAATAACACCATTCTAGTTGGAAGAGAGGAGCTAAGGGCTGTCCTTCCAAGAATTTCTGGGGGCACTAGCACGAGCAAAAATGGTTGAAAAGTCTACTGTTTGAAAGAGAGTAAAACGAGCAAAAGATAGACCTTAACTACCACTTCCACTATAAAGGCTAAATTTGTTTCTTGATTCGAGGTTATATCATATGGTGTATGTTTGAATAGTTTTATATTTGGGCTTAGAGTTATGGACTCAATTACTAAGTCATTAAACTTATATTATGACAATATGACTAAGAATAATAAAAGTGAAAGTTGAAGTAAGCAAATCGACATTGAATATCTAGTTATAAGAGAATGTATTAAGGAAAAGAAAGTGATCATTTAGCATTGAGTTAATTATTGTCCATCCTTTTTCTAAAGACATACTACCAAATAATTTTAAGAATCATATACCACAAATGAAAATTAGTTCCATGCTGTGACAATTATCTATTTTGTTTAACAAAAACTCTTATTCTATTTTTCTTATTTATTATACACATATGTTTATTTTGTGAAATTATATTTAATTTAACCCAAAATAAACATATGGTTTATTCATTATAGTAAAGGGTCATTGATGAGAGACTTAATATATTATAATACATGAGATATAATACTCTTTATTAAAGGGTCTATCACCATATTCATATATTTAGTTTATTATTCTCATTGAAATAGAAATGAACCAAGTAAGGAAATGTTAGTTGTTTTTATTTTCAGGGATGTGGAATATAATAACTTATCCACTAAAGTAGTAATTAAATTCACACCATGTAAATGTGATCCATTTTCTCCTATTTTCAAAGTAATTAGGTAAAAACTTTTTGGCATCTACTTCCTATGTTTTTAAAACTCCATGGACAAAACTCTATAAATACCAAAAATGTTCTAAGTTTTCGATAATAAAATGTTTTTTTTTCTATAGCATACTACGCCAACAAGTGAGAGAAATGAGGGTTTAAAATAATAGAGTACATTATGCAACAATAACAATAATGCCTAGAGGTATATCTTATTTCCTTTTGGGGTATCAAAGACACTATCTTTTCTTTGTTTTCTTACCCCCGAAAAACACAAATTCAAAACCTGATATAGCAATATTGATTAGATAAATCATTTAACATACCGTTATTCGCAAGGACTTGCATAAACATACCTCTGATTTTGTTCATAATCCAATCATAAAAAGTCATTCCCACTCCTCTGGGTCAGTTTGTTTCATTGCAAAATGAATAAAGTCCAAACTCCAAGCAAACAACCTAAAGACACTAGGTGTGAAGTTCCAAGAACCCATTGCCACCTAGTGCATGCCTTCCGTAGAAGAAAAAATATATTAAACAAAAAAAAAAGTCTTTACCTAAGATAATCTTTTATAGTCCAAGTGACTTCCACATATTGTTCAATTCCATGTAGATATGTAATCAATTTATCTAGACCAACAAAATATGGTCATGAAGGTGATTCCTGCACTTATGCAAACCTTGTTCATATTATTTTTCTAGAGTTTTCCCATGCCAAGTATATCACCTTTCATGCATGGAAGAAAATAATTGTTCACTTGGACATTGCATGCATTAGATAAATGTTTTCATGTTAATTTAACCATCACGAGATCTTTATGCAACACCAATCATCTCTTTTCAATATTTTTTGCAAAATTGTAGGGTCAAGATTTTCCCACACTAAAACATCACGGGTCAACAACTAATAGTTGTTTAGTTGCACTACCAATATATAGACTTCAAACACAGGTCATTTTCATCCCCTTAAACAGTATAAATAGTTTCCAACAACCATTTTAGACGAGTCACTCAATTCTTTTCCACTTTTCCTCATGTGTCACCATCACAGTACTTTCATAAAACAGAAAATGAACCCCAACTCGAGTAAATATTTCACAGACCCGGTCTCTGCCTTGTTATTGATTCGCTGGTTGCTAGGCAAGGGTCAGCAAAACACAGCCTCATTGTACAGTGCTACTTCAAAGCAAAATAGCCAAGCAAACAATGAAGGAAAATGAAACAACACCAACTCTTGCAGGACAAACAATGAAAAAGCAAGCATCATTGACAGCCATAAAAAATATATCATCACCAAAATTTGTATTGCAAACAGAACCCCCTAGAGAAGGGTAGCAATAGTTTATATATATATAACTTTATGTTTTATATAATATGCTAGAGATTTCTAAGCTAATGATGAAAGAGTAGCAGTTGATATATAGTTATGATATAATATTAACGCGTTCCACAGCTTTATCAAGGTAAAGCATCCTTCAAAACGCCCACCTTTGGAGACAATTGCATACTGGACTGTGCTTTGAGTCTCTTCCCATCCATCCATCCAACCAAACTCATCACAGATAGATGGATCTACTGCCACCATTTCTTCTCAGACAAAGATATGAGCTGCAAACCAAATTGAACAAATGTTATAGTTTCAACCCTTCAGTTTTAGATGACAGACATCTTTCTACCACTACCAAGTAAACCTGGTGATGACATCTAAAGCTCAAAACAAGTGCATTTCCTATCAAAAAATACACAGTTCAAATATATCTATATTTGCTATTCCGTTTATTTACTAATAAAAAAAGAAAAATTCCATTAGTTCTTCCATACACTAAAATTAGTTCATCATAAGCATATTTGTAAAAAAAGTTCTCACATTAACTTTACTAAAAGCTTATTTTAACTCTTTAGTTTGTGGAAAAAATATTTAATTCTTTTCTCTCTTGAAAACATTTATGAAAATTTCATCCACAAGTATGTTTAACTCTACGTTTAGAAATAAGATGAACTTAATTCAAAGTAAACGAAAAGCTTGCTTCAACAAAATAAGGGGCCCATCATAAAAATTCAACAATCAGATATGTCAACCAGAGGCAAGTATTTAATGTTTATATGAAACATGGCTAGTAGAATAAATAACATGTGTAGTAACAATATCTACCATGACAAGAGAGTTTCTTTTTTTATTGCAATTATACGGGAATATAATGAAGACTCAAGTGATCATAATACAACTACTTTAATTATAAAGAAAGTGAGTGCATCTGGAGTTCCATACTTCACACAAAAGTAATATTATAAAAATGAAGACATGCTAAAAAGTAGAAACATAGAATGAACCCAAATCATTGCTCGCATTTTATCTAAACAATGCTAGCAATTTAAAGCAAATTGGGGGCCAGAGTTCTTTTATAATAAACAAAGAATTTATTAATAAAAGAGAGATACAAATGCTAGAGGATAAGATGTCATCAAAAATTAATTAAGAATGAAAGGGGGAAAACAAAAGGATAAAAACATATTATCCAGGTAATGTAACAGCACACCGATCTATGACCTTCCAGAGAAGACACCTAAAAAGCACACTAACAGAACAAGACAGATAATCTAAGTGAACTACACAATACAAAATTAATTCGAGCAGTAACATCATAGTGGACTACTCTAGCATTTCTTTCCAACTATATACACCAAACAACCTCAAATAGACAATAAAACAAAAGCCGTTTTAGCGCCTCTATTGGTCTTAAAACCTATAAATTTAAAAAGGAATTCTAGAGATACTTAGGGAAACCCAGTCTTCACTAACAGATAATGAAGATCAAGGTGACACAGTCAATTTAGGTAAGACAATACAGTATATGAAGTGAAAAATTCAAGTCATTGTATTCATTATTTTAGAATGTATGACTACTTTTCTTTATGAGAAACACAGCATATCTGTTACTCCATTTGAAATAAAAATAGTGAAAAAGGCAACAAAATAATTACCCAACTCATAGAACCAAACAAGAATTAGCAGTTATCCGATGTCATACAAAACTAAGAAAAGAGGATATTTAAGATGTGCAAGAAGTTGAGAACAAATCAGTATTAAAAGTCAACTTGCATTTGACAAAGTAAAATTATAAGCAAGGACAAACACATAACTACTAAGTTATTTATGAGATATTGAAGTTTATGAATTGGGATCATTTAGCATGGGTCGTTTATCAAAACAAAAAACTATTAGCTTTACGGTGTCAAACTTGTGTACTGTCTGATAATTGCCTACGCAGAATAAGTGAACCATATATGCCTGATGGGTAAAATATGCTACTAACAGTCAACTCTTATCTATTCTAGGATCAATAACACTAGGGGTGTCCATAATGGGCAACTTGAATTGAAATAGACATACAATACATTTATACATTGCAAAACTCAGTAAGTATCATTATATAGAAATAAAAAAATTAGAGGAAACCTCACCAGAAAAAATAACCACATTACAAAGAACAAGATTTTCATTAACCACAGCCATGCGTCAATCCTATATATGGTCAGAGAGAAATCGATGTTTGTCATACTGAATACACAAGTACAACATAATAAACTTAAACATACAAAAAATTTAAAGACGTTCACCATTAATAATAAAAAGTCATAGGCTAGAGAGACCGACCAATCACCACCACCAATCTAAGGCATAATTGACAAGACAATAACAGCAAAAGTCAAATAACATAATGTAAAACACTGAGTCCTACATAAGCACAAGCCTCTAAAGCTTAAAGTACCTCAACTTTTAATAGGCTTACCTTAATTGGAGTCATCATCTCCAAGATGATGCCATGGCTGAGAAAGAGCAACAATGATAACAGAAGAAAGAAGTCAAAACAAATGGAAGATTGTGCTATGAATGAAATCAATAGAAAAATAGTAATATCTTGTAAGGACAGAAAAGTACAAAATTGAGATCTTGAAGTGTGAAGTAGACAACACAAAAAAATGGAGGATTAAAGACACATAATGCAGGCAAGCTTGGCTAGAAAAATTGCTGTGGTAAAAGGAGTTTGCTTTTACACTGATCAGTTTTTGAACCTCAAAACAAATGGGAAGGCAAATAATTTTGGTTGTCTCGATTATCCACCCAGACCATAATCCTGGAGTAAAGAAAGAATCTCATGATGAACTTTGTCTAGAGATAGGTTTATGTGTTTCAATCACAAAATTTTAAATTTTTCCTAACTATACATGCTATCATAAGTCAAGATTTTTCAAAGGAAGATGCTTTGCCTGTTTATTGGAATCCCACACAAATTGTAAAAAAATGAGTGGCTAATGAAATGGGGAACGTGAAGAACTTTTAAGAATAATTGGGGACTTCAAAGTACTTCAATAAGAACTTGAATAAAGTGAAGATCATCAATCATCATCTCAAGAGTTTTCTTCACCAAACAATAAAGTGTTATAAGAATATAACAAAATAACCACTTAATAGAAGCTATTTGTCTATTTCTAATTAGTTGTGCTTAAAATTAACAGAATATCACCATTGTCAGCAGCTAACAACATAACTCCTATAATGCTATGACCATGTTTGAAAAAGAGAAGTAGTTTATTTAATGCTGATACATAACCACATTGTATGTACACACACATGGATATGCATGCTCAAATCAGTGAAAGATAGAAACAAGCATTCACAAACAACCAACCTGACGAGCAACCTGTGCTAATCGTCGGCTGTCCCGGGATGATTCAGTCATTGTACAAGATTTCTGAGGCTCCAGATGACCTTCTTGCTTCTCTCCACACTTTTTCTTTGAATTGGTATTATCTTGAGAGCAATCATCATCACAGCTAACAACCTCCTTCTTACGCTTTCTACAGAATGTGTACTTAAGAAACCTATCACTTGTAGGTCTATTAGAAACCTTTGCATCTACATCAGATACTTTTGGATCCATTTTATCCAATGACACATTAGATGCTTCAACATTTTTACAAGCTGGAACCTCCACACTTTCAGCAGACAAACTATCTTGTCTTGTTAAATCTGATTTATCCATGGGTTCCTTGTCATCTTTAGCTTTGTTCCAAGCCCCACAGGCTTTAAGAAATACTTCCCCATTTTCAGTATTGCTATGAGATCCTGATTCCTCGTTCTTTGCAGTTGTGTCTGTAGGTACATCAGCAACAGGAGACATTACATCCTTCTGTGTTTCATTTCCATGTATCATAGAAGAACTCACCCTTGAGGGGTCACCGCTAACCAATACAAGTGGAGAATCTTTTGCACAAGACATGTGTGATTCTTTATTTGTTTCCTTAACCTGGTTAGAATGTAATCTAGATTTAATAGCCTTCCTTTTCCCAAATCTTCTCTTTCTTCTATGAACTGGAACTTTGACAACTTCAGCATCTGCTTTCACCACTTTAAGTTCATCTGGTTTCTCCTTTTCACAAATAATATCATCTTTGGCATTAGTTGATAAAGTCATCGCTTTACCTTCTTCATGTACACTCACTAAAGTTTCATCCTGTACATTATCTAAGTTTCCTGAAACAGACATATTTCCATCAAAAAGGCTCCTTTCAAATGCATGTATTCTCTGAGTGCATCCATTTCTGTAGAGCTTGGGCTCTTTCCTCCTTATGACTATGGATGCAAAGTCAGGGTTATGAATGTAGCAGTTGTTTGTATGATCATGTGACCCACAGAACTTACTGCTATCAATGGATCCATTTACAGTTGGATTCCGGGTGTTAGAAATAGAGACTGATTCAAACCGTAAACCAGGTGCAGAATAAATAGATCCATCATCAGGATCAAGTCTGTTATCTTGCAGAAAATTTTCCTGAGTTACAACTTCTATGTTTTGCTCAACAGGGGATTGCATTTGGTGTTTTGTCACATTCTCCAGCTCATCCTGGGTTTCTCTCAACTCTGCTCTTAAGTCTCTAACTATTTCCTCGGCTTCCTGGAGCTGAGCTTCAAGCTCCTCAATTTTCTTTTGCTGATTCAACGACATCAGCTCTGCTTCACTGACCTGCAAAGTTGTCATTCATTAGACACAACAGGATCAAACTAGACAGAAATTATTTAACTTGGAGGACTCAATTAGTTGGCTTCAGGAGCTAGAATATCACATTAAATTACTCTTATGTCATCATGTAGCATGCACTATAGTGGTAGTAATCTCTCACTGTTGACAAATCACTGCATTTGCCATGTGTTGAATTTACTTTAAAAAATGGAAACATTAATACAATGTAAGACTTTTGTTTAAATGATTCACCAGCAATGGAACAAATTTAGTTTGAAAAAAATATGCAAGCATGAAAAGTATCCAGCAATAATCTTGTGCCTACATTCACAATCAAGTCTGCTTCATCCTCAAGTTAGATGTACATGTAAATTGATGGAGAGTTAGGCAATTACAAAAGTACCAGCGGTTTACTCTGACACCGAGTCACAATTATATCACATACTTTATCAAAAGTAAATTGATCGCATTCCTTCAATGACCACAACAAATGTCTCAGCAAAATAGCCAATCCCTTTTATTTTTAGCAACAATTCCCTTCAAAGAACCCCGTGTTTCAAATATGAAAATAAAGTACGAACCAAAGATATGAATTTTAAAAGACAACATCAGTGTGACAATTCGGAAGACCAGGTTTAAAATGGCTGACACCGACCATTTCAATTGAATCAGAGGTAATCTGAAACAATACTGCCATTCAAGCATAACCATTACCAAGGCAAGCCACATTCTTGCAATTGCAATATATTTCAAGATCTCCACGAAGAGGCAACCCGTATCCATTATCTAGAATTTTATTTTATTTTTCACTCACTTGCTGGGAAATTTTACATTGAACTCATCAAACCGATGCAAGTAGTTAGCCGTCAATCCGGAAAACACTTAGACCAGGTTTAAAAGGGTTGACACCGACCATTTCAATTGAATCAGAGGATAATCTGAAACAATACCAGGTTTAAAATGGCTGACACCGACCATTTCAATTGAATCAGAGGTAATCTGAAACAATACTGCCATCCAAGCACAACCATTACCAAGGCAAGCCACATTCTTGCAATTGCAATATATTTCAAGATCTCCACGAAGGGGCAACCCGTATCCATTATCTATAATTTTATTTTATTTTTCACTCACTTGCTGGGAAATTTTACATTGAACTCATCAAACCGATGCAAGTAGCTAGCCGTCAATCCGGAGAACACTTAGACCAGGTTTAAAAATGGTTGACACCGACCATTTCAATTGAATCAGAGGATAATCTGAAACAATACCAGGTTTAAAATGGCTGACACCTACCAATTCAATTGAATCAGAGGTAATCTGAAACAATACTGCTATTCAAGCATAACCATTAATAAGGCAACCCGCATTCTTGCAATTGCAATACATTTCAAGATCTCCACGAAGAGGCAACCCGTATCCATTATCTAGAATTTCATTTTATTTTTCACTCACTTGCTGGGAAATTTTACATTGAACTCATCAAACCGATGCAAGTAGTTAGCCGTCAATCCGGAGAACACTTAGACCAGGTTTAAAAATGGTTGACACCGACCATTTCAATTGAATCAGAGGATAATCTGAAACAATACCAGGTTTAAAATGGCTGACACCTACCATTTCAATTGAATCAGAGGTAATCTGAAACAATACTGCTATTCAAGCATAACCATTACCAAGGCAACCCGCATTCTTGCAATTGCAATATATTTCAAGATCTCCACGAAGAGGCAACCTGTATCCATTATCTAGAATTTCATTTTATTTTTCACTCACTTGCTGGGAAATTTTACATTGAACTCATCAAACCGATGCAAGTAGTTAGCCGTCAATCCAGAGAACACTTAGACCAGGTTTAAAAATGGTTGACACCGACCATTTCAATTGAATCAGAGGATAATCTGAAACAATACCAGGTTTTAAATGGCTGACACCTACCATTTCAATTGAATCAGAGGTAATCTGAAACAATACTGCTATTCAAGCATAACCATTACCAAGGCAACCCGCATTCTTGCAATTGCAATATATTTCAAGATCTCCACGAAGAGGCAACCTGTATCCATTATCTAGAATTTCATTTTATTTTTCACTCACTTGCTGGGAAATTTTACATTGAACTCATCAAACCGATGCAAGTAGTTAGCCGTCAATCCGGAGAACACTTAGACCAGGTTTAAAAATGGTTGACACCGACCATTTCAATTGAATCAGAGGATAATCTGAAACAATACCAGGTTTAAAATGGCTGACACCTACCATTTCAATTGAATCAGAGGTAATCTGAAACAATACTGCTATTCAAGCATAACCATTACCAAGGCAACCCGCATTCTTGCAATTGCAATATATTTCAAGATCTCCACGAAGAGGCAACCTGTATCCATTATCTATCTAGAATTTCATTTTATTTTTCACTCACTTGCTGGGAAATTTTACATTGAACTCATCAAACCGATGCAAGTAGTTAGCCGTCAATCCGGAGAACACTTAGACCAGGTTTAAAAATGGTTGACACCAACCATTTCAATTGAATCAGAGGATAATCTGAAACAATACCAGGTTTAAAATGGCTGACACCTACCATTTCAATTGAATCAGAGGTAATCTGAAACAATACTGCTATTCAAGCATAACCATTACCAAGGCAACCCGCATTCTTGCAATTGCAATATATTTCAAGATCTCCACGAAGAGCCAACCTGTATCCATTATCTAGAATTTCATTTTATTTTTCACTCACTTGCTGGGAAATTTTACATTGAACTCATCAAACCGATGCAAGTAGTTAGCCGTCAATCCGGAGAACACTTAGACCAGGTTTAAAAATGGTTGACACCGACCATTTCAATTGAATCAGAGGATAATCTGAAACAATACCAGGTTTAAAATGGCTGACACCTACCATTTCAATTGAATCAGAGGTAATTTGAAACAATACTGCTATTCAAGCATAACCATTACCAAGGCAACCCGCATTCTTGCAATTGCAATATATTTCAAGATCTCCACGAAGAGGCAACCTGTATCCATTATCTATCTAGAATTTCATTTTATTTTTCACTCACTTGCTGGGAAATTTTACATTGAACTCATCAAACCGATGCAAGTAGTTAGCCGTCAATCCGGAGAACACTTAGACCAGGTTTAAAAATGGTTGACACCGACCATTTCAATTGAATCAGAGGATAATCTGAAACAATACCAGGTTTAAAATGGCTGACACCTACCATTTCAATTGAATCAGAGGTAATCTGAAACAATACTGCTATTCAAGCATAACCATTACCAAGGCAACCCGCATTCTTGCAATTGCAAGACATTTCAAGAACTCCACGAAGAGGCAACCCGTTTCCATTATCTAGAATTTATTTTATTTTTTTCACTCACTGATGGGAAATTTTACATTGAACTCATCAAACTGATGCAAGTAGTTAGCCGTCAATTCAAACCATCTCAGTGAAACGAACTCTCGAAACATTACCAATCGAGAAAGAAACAACACGCACCAAACCAGCATCACAAAGCATGAGTAGGGTAATAAACTCCAAATCAAACACAAACCAATTTTCAACAAAAACAAAAACGAAGCGTAGAAGGGCAAAGAAAGAATCTTTTTTATCAAAAAAGGCCCCTTTGCAAGAGCGTGATTGTCAAACCTTAGAATCGAACATTTGTTTGAGCCTAAGCAGCATCCGAAGTGCTTCCTCCTTGGTAGAAACAAGGTCCTGCTGAAAGCGTGAGGCTTTCCGCTCCGACACCATGATACGCGCAGCCGCCTCCTTCGCCGTGTTGAGGATGATATCGGCGTAAGCCTTCTTCAACGCCGTCAATTTCTGATCAAAACTCAAAAACACCCAATGAATACCCAAAACACCAAACGCGCCTCAAATCACAAACGACCGTTCCCATTCCTGTGAACCCACAGAATAATAAAACCGAACCGATTTTCTTGTACAAAGCAAAAGAAAAAACCAGAAAAAGAAAAAACCGCGGTAGGCGGCGGGAGAAGCAGTTGAAAAGGGTGGAGCGGAAGAGCAGACGGAAAGCTTTACCTCGGAATCCTCCATTGTTGTCTAATGCATCCAAGAGTGGGTGTTAGGTGATTTGGTTGAGTTCAGACCAAACCAAAGAACAGGAACAACAACAACAGAAAGAAGTGAATGATGATGGGATGGGAGTTTGTTTCTGTTTTTCTTTCTTCCCCTCTTAACAGTGGGAGCTGTGTGTCTGTTAGGAAGTGAGAGGAAAATGACGAGATTGACCTCTGTGTAATAACATTACATTTACCACGTCGCAATCACAAACCGTAACAGGGAGCGGGGCCTGTTGATCTCTTCGGCTCTCCATTTTATATTTTCCACAGTGGACCCCTGTTCTGCTCCACCACCTCCATCTCAAATGCTGACGTGGACTGTTTCATCAAACTGTAGCCACCGTGACCTTAAACGCCCACGTTTTTTCTTTTTGATAATAAAGAAATAAAATGTAAAAAAAAAAGGAAAAGAAAATATTCTTATTTATTTTAAAAAAATCATTTAAAAAAAAATTAAATTTAAATTAAATATTTATTTACTTATAAATTATTCATATAATTATTAGTTATTTTTATAAATAAAATAACTTTTTAAAATAATATTTTAAAATTATATCTTTTTAATAATATATATTTTGATATATAATTATAAATTATTTTTATTATAATTTTTTAAAATTATTTAAAATTAAATTAATAATATTTTATTTTATTTCAAATAAATAAATAAGATATTAAGTTATTTATTTGATTTTTATAATTATTTTCACATTTTTAATATTTTATTAAAATAATTATATATGTATATATATATATAATAAAATTGAATAATTATCTTGAAAATAATTTTATAAAATGATTTTTTCTCATATATGAGAGATAATAAATATGATTGAAAAATAACTTTTTTCTTAGTTAATGTTTTCTTATTTTCCTACATTAACCAATTTTAACTTTAATTTTTTAAAAATAAACCGAATTTTAGGATTTTTTTTTTAAAGCAAATTCTCTGTTTTAACTTATTATATTTTTAAATTAAATCCTTTCAATTTTATAGATACTAAAAGATCAAATTGTAAGAATATATATATATATATATATATATATATATATATATATAGTTTATTAATAACTATAGATTATGGATAAAATTATGTATAATTATTCACTTGGTGTGTCACTGTTTAAAGTTGTCTTTGATTTTTCTTTTTAAATATAAAATAGTATACTTATTTTATTTTTTGAAACATCGTAAATAAAATTATATATAATATTTATTTACTTTTATAGATTTATTTTTAAAATGTTTCTTAATTTTTTAATAATATAAAATAATAATTGGTCTTAGATTAAAAAAAGTAAAATAATAATAATAATAATATAATAAATGAAAATATAATTTTTAAACTTATGATAAATAGTTATTATATATAAATATTTTTAGTTAAAGTTGTAGTGTAAAAAATAAATGGGTCATTAAAAAAGATAATTTTTTTTCTTTTCTGATAATTTTTTTCCTTATTACACCACGATTTGTCATTATTTTCATCAATTTTTTTAAACGTGATGGTTAGAAATGAAATATGGTACAAACAAATATTCTTTTTAACGGAAGAAGAAATTAATTAGTTCATTATTTATATTTTAAATATTATTATTCATTTTTTAGTAAAAAAACGAAAAACTAAATTAATGTAATTAAGTTAACAAAAAAAAAACGTTGCTAACCTCGTATGAAAAATAATAAAATATTTATTATCATATCTTTAACTCTTACTATGATGTCTTGAAAAATTATATATTAATTAGCAATTAGTGTAGTATATATGGAGAAATTTGCATCTCAAGCCTTTTTTATTTTTTATTTTTTTTATCAAATGTTAAAAGTTCATTCTTTTCTAAAGAACAGAATTCATATACAATATTATAAATGTTATCTAAATATATGAAGTCTCACCTTGATAATGCAAAACAATATTTAATATAATTTTTACCAATATTATTTCCATTGGTTAATATCACCAATAGTACAACGTATTACATATAAAATATTTGTCCTCTTTTTAATTCCTTTTTCTTATTTGATTGAAATTTAATTAAAAAAAATGTAATGTCCTTCTTGTAATGATTCTCGTTCATAATTTTATATTTTTGATAAGTCAATTTATATTTATAATCTTTTAGAATTATAATAAATTTTGTTTAATCCTTTCATTTAAAAAAGAAATTTCTTTCCAATTTATTAAATTTAATAAAATATATTTTTAATTTCAAAGTATTAACTTGATTGACTAAAAATAATTTTTGTAAACTTTTTTTTCTCAAATTTATAATTTAAAAACTAAAATTATTTTTATTAGTTTTTAAGAAACCAAAGTAAACTTTTTAAAGTTTAAAGCCGAATATTAAAACCAACTTAAAATTAAAAAAAAAATTGGTGCAATGATATTATCATTTCTATCACATAAAATTAAGGAATGAATAGATCAAACATAAAATTAAGGAAATTATCTATAACTACATTACTATAATATGATAAAGCCTTTTATGAATTTATTAATATATGCTTAACTTTTTCAATTTTATTTATTTTGGTATTTCTCTGAAATTTAAGAAATAATTTGTTTTATGAGAAAATATTTTGTTTTGATCGTTGGACGGTAGTATTTGGGGTCCACGGAGGGTAATCTTTCTTTCTCTGTCCCTAAACGGTATTTCTTTCATTGCAGCAATTTCTGATTTACGTGGAAAACATCATAGGATTATTTAGGAAAAAACACAGTTACACTAACACTCCAAATGTTCGAACAGCATGAATTGAGTTGTTCCTTTTTGAGTCAAAATCTAGTTGATTTTGTTGTAATCGATTCAATCCAAATGTCAAACATCTTTCGTTGAGTGCATATAAAATATATTTTGCTAACTTTTGTTACAGGCACAAATAAATTAATAAAAAAACTGTTTTTTCATTGACATATAATATTTAATCTCATTTTATTTTATTTTCTCATACTGCTTTTCCTATTTAATCTTAATTAAATCATAGTTATTAGTTATCAAAACAAAACCGATAAAACACAAATAATTTTATATATATACTTAAAAATATAAACTGACATGTATTTATTATTTACTATAAAATAAAATATTTATAGTTTATTTATAAAATACAATATATATATATACACACACACACTTTAGGAAACTAAAATATTTTATAATTATACTAAATTTCAATCAAGTAATTTGTAATATATGATTTATACAATGATATTTTAAAAAACCATAAAATATTTCAACGCATTCTTCTTATTAATTTCTTAAAATTATTCAATATCTTCAAAGAAATAACTCGTTTAATAAAAATATTTTTTAACCTACAATGTACTTTTAATATCTTATTTTAATTTTTAAAAATAGAGGTTTATAATTCATTTTTTACATATTAATTTTGATATTATGATTTTAAATGGTTGTATAATTATCTATTTTCTAATATATCATTTATATCTAAAGAAAAAGTGTTTATATCTCTAACAAATACTAATTATAATATATTAGAAATTACATGTAATATTAAAAAAAATTATTACTGTTTTCTTTTATCACTAATCACTTCTTACACATAAAACCATAAATATATAATGATAAAATAAAATCATAATAAATTTTATTTTAATAATATCTTATAAATAAAATGTAATATTCAAAATTATTGTTCATAATATATTCAAAATTAAAATCATATTTTATTTATAAGATATTAAATATGTTAATTGATTGAATTATACACTTGTAACATCACAAAATTTATTTTGTAATTTTTTTAAAATATAATATATTAAATGAATATTTTAGATCATTTCAAAATATTTATAATAAAAAATATATTTATATAAAAAAATATTATTATTATTATTATTAAACTATAAAAAAATAATACTTTTTTAATAATTTATGAATTATTAAAATAATTTTTGTTAATTAATTATTGATTATTTATAAAAAAAAAACAATTATTAAAAAAAACATATAAAAGAGAAATATGATAAGATTCACTATCTCTCTTAAAAAAATAAGCTTGAGTTAAAAAAAGAAAATCAAACACGCATTTAAGACAAATGAAAAAAAATATAACAAATAAAATTGACTATAAATACATGTGAGAGGTAAGAATTTTTTTTCATGAAATAATGGAGAAAAAAAGAAAGAAAGAGAGGAGATGGAGGAAAAAAAGAGAGAAAAAGAAAATATATAAATTATTTTGATAAATTTTGGTAGATTCTCGTATGTTATTAGAAGAAGATATGAGATATTTATTATTGAATATTTTGTTATTTTTAATGTTGTTATTGAGTGAAGAGATTTAATCTCATTTTATTTATTTTTTATATTTATTTTATCTATTATTATATATTAATCATATTTTATATTTATTTATTTATCTTTATTTAGATATTGATTCTATTTATTTTATCTTCAGGTCTTATTTTATATTTTTTTATTTATTTTTAGTTATTTACCAATCCTTATTTATTAATTTATTTTTATATTATTTAATTTTTAAAATAATAATATTTATTTATAAAAATGTGATGATATTGTAGATGGATGTTGGTGTAACGACCATAAAAATCGCTACCATAACGATATCTTCACAAAATAGTAAACAAGTAAATAATAACATCTATATTATATTATATTATTGTAATTGTAATATAAACTGAAATTCCGGTTCATTCACGGAACCTCAAAACATAGTAACATAATTTATTTATATAGATACATACAAAAGTAACTCTCACAAAGTTACCCCACTGAACTATCCATGTTGTCCAGTAGTCGCATCTCCACCTCTCAACTCCTTATCTTATGCTCCCACATAAAAGTGATCATCGCAGTCTCATCTACATGGAAAAATAAGGGTAAGTATTAAATCATTTGATATAATAAAACATATATAGAAGTAATAATTACATATTATCATCAATTACAAATCATCAATGCACTAAGACGTCTTCCGGAAGTCTATCC